TTTGTAAACTTTGAAAAACTTTGTAAACTTTGTAAAAACTTTGTAAACTTTGTAAAGACTTTGTAAACTTGAAAAAGCTGTTGTAAACTTTGTAAAAACGTTGTACAACTTTGTAAACTTTGTAAAAACTTTGAAAACTTTGTAAGCACTTTGAGAGACTTTGTAGACTCTGTAAAAATTGAAAAACTGTGTAAATTCCGAACTTTGCAAGAACTTTGTCAAATTCCAAAGCTGTCTAAAATCGTTGTAAACTTTCAATACTGTGCAAAAACTGTGTAAACTGTATAAACTTTGCAAATTTTGTGAACGCTTTGTAAACTATGTAAATACTGTGTAAAGTTTGCAAATGTTTGTACACTTTGAAAAAACTCCATGTAAAATTGTAAAATTTGCAATCTTTGTAAAAATATTAACTTTGCACAAGCTTTGTAAACTTTCAATACTTAAAACTGTGTAAACTTTGTAAAAACTTTGTCAACATTGCAGCAACATTGTAAAACTTTCAATACGTCTTTAATTGATTTTTTAATGGTAAAACCTTTGTAAACTGGGTAAACTTTGGAAATTGTTCAAAACTTTGTAAACTGTGTTAAAATATTGTAAACTTTGTAAACTTGGTAAACGGTTGTAAAACTTTGCAAACTTCATAAAATCTGTGTAAAACTTTGTAAACTTTGTACCAACTTTGAAAGCCTTGTAAAAACGTAGTGAACTTGGTATAAACTTGGTAAACTTTGTCAACACTTTGTAGACTTTGTAAAACATTTTTAAACTTTGTCAAACTTTGTAAGCTTTGTCAACCTTTAAACTTGTAAAACTTTGTAAGAACTTGGTAAAACTTTATTAAGACGTTGTAAAATTCGCAAACTTTGTAAAAAGGTTTACAAACCTTTTACGAAGTTTTGGAGTTCTTCAAATTGTTCTTCAAAGTTAGAGCAACATTTTACACAGTTTTTAGAACGTTTACAAAGTTTTTTATTTTACAAAGTTATACAAAGTTTACCAAACTTTCACAAAGTCTTAAGATTTTGTACAAAGTTTGCAACTTTTGCAAAGAGTTGACAGAGTTGTTGAATTACAAACAAACTTACAAAGGTTTACAACGTCTACAAAGCTTTTACCATGGCCGTTCACTCACCACTCACGAGACAAACAAACCTATGAAATAGTCCTTTGGGTCTCGTATGTTGCCACTAACAACGCAAAAAACAAGACGTGTTTTATACCCTCTCTTAGTTCTGAACAACCAATTCTTCAGAGGTCCGCAAGGGTCAAAAACACTTCTTCTGCGCTAATTCCCCCGAAACAACGAACGACGGTCCCCAAGCAACTTAACATTGTATGCAGTCTAATGAAGAAGGAATGTATAAGTTCTTTCTGTAGCTATCCAACAATAATATTTAAGATCTGACTTGTTTGCAGACACAGACACACCTGCCTTGTTTGCAACCTCCATTTGGTGCAGGAAATATTTGGTCCTTTAAGAGCACCACACGCTCTTTCCACCGGGCCACTTGGCGGAGGAGAAAGACGTTCAGAGCAGTGGTGGACCCACAAAAACCAAGGCTGCCAGTCAGAAGTGAGCAGAAGCCATTCCTAGCTGTCAAGTATTCTGTCCTTCTTGGTAAGCTAAGAAAAGGCAGGCTGTTGGTCCTTAACCATAAGTGTCCATCCGTTTTTGACAACGATCTATATCCATGAAAGAGATCCTGCATCCGAATCTCGGAACTTCCCAAGCTACAGAGGCTCCCAAGAGCTTCTTCAGGAAAACACATGGTCTGAACCACTTGAACCCGACCCACTGTAAGCTTCGCAATCAAAAAAAACCATTGCAAGTCCATCAAACTTCAAAGCCACCGATACATCCTGCGGTGGCCACCGAGTCGAACGCCGCGGCCCGCTGCACCCGAGGCCCGCTGCCAGATCGGCGGCGTGCTGATCCGCTCGGGCACGGTGCGGCGGCGTGACGAGGTCGGCGGCCGCGGCCGCGGCGGACGGGATGAGAAGACGTCGAAGGGCGAGTTGAAGAGGTCAAGGGTCCCTATAGTATAGGATGTTAGGATCTTTTTGAATCAGAAGAAGGGCGGACCACCATAGAATGTTAGAATGTTTCTTTGCTGACCTGCTGTGCCAAGAAAACATTTGAAGATGGAAGAAAAGCCATGCAAACCCTTCAGACTTTTCCAGTGGAACAAGTGAACCAGACTGGCTCTCAAGAACCAGTCGTTCTGAAGAAATGACACTCACGGCGTCCAGTATATAGTTCAAACATGTTCAAACGTCTAAAAAGAACAAAAAACATGGTTGCGGTCCGCCATTCTTTTGATATTTTACTAAACAAAAAACAGCGATGAAACATTGCCACGGCAAAAGCGAAGTAACAGTTGGGAAGATGCTACTGTAAATCAGTTTGTTTCTGCAAGTCCTCCTCCATGCTGCAAGAAGGATCAAGAATGCATTATTAATGTCTTTGGGGATTTCTTGAGGTCTTCTCACATCACATATTCTACAAATATATCAGCCACAGCACTGGGGGGAAAACCTGTTCTTCTTCATGAAAGACTCCCGGGTTGAACCCAGGTACAGTTGTCCGAATCGAACCCCTCGACCCCACAACTTCGCAGGCGGAAGACTTGCTGGTTCACCTGCGGCACGCACATGCGCTGAGCGGGAACCTGGAAGAGAGGTCCGCGACGTTCTGCGGTGTCGCGACGTGTGTGCTGTGTGCAGTGACTGATGGATGTGAGAAGTGCTGAAAGCTGGATCAAGATCTGAACCAGACTCAGTCTGGAGTTGAGACATTCTGATAATTGTATACAGAAGGCTTTTTGGTATACTGAAAACTCCAAAGTCCTTCTAGTGCCACTATATGCTACTCCACACTCCATGTGTCCCTTCCATCGCGTTCCATCGGCCAGGCTTTTGGCCGCTACAGAGGCCCTCTCTGCGCTGGGCAAATCCGTGACCTTTGCCGTGGCCCGGCCGACCTCCCGTCGCGGAGAACACCGTCCGAAGAGTCGGATCCACCGATCCGCTCGCAGTGGTCGAAACCTGTGCAGTCGGTCTCAGCAGTGTGGCCGACTCAAAGGTTTTCGGGTGTCAGTGGGAGACGTCTCCCGACTCAAACTGTTTTCGAGTTTCGACCTCACCACCGCCGACGGTCGAAGAGTCGAAGAGTCGAAGAGTCAGTCTCCCATAGTCGGTCTCCTTAGGTTTTAATACACACCCAAAGTCGGCTCAAATTGATCGTTCCATGTCAAGGACGATTCAGAGTGTACAAGGACGATGCATGACGATGTGATGGTAGTTTGCAGTTCTTTTCTACTCAAAATAGCTCCAATCTGTTACGTTCTCCAAAAATGATTCACTTCTCCACCGCCGTCCAACTCTATCCACCTGCTTCGGGACCCGCCCTGCCCCGCCGAACACGCCCGAAACGACCTGCGATGGCGGTCTCGCGCCGCGCCGCGACTCCTCTTCCGCACCGAATCGGTCGCCATGCGCGGCCAGCGGCCGCGCTCGAAGCGACCTCTCCTTCGGACGACGCTGCCTCAGGTGACCTTGGACGCTCGTCGCTGGGTGGGGCAAACCTTGGAATCTCCCAGTTCTCGGTGCCTCTCCGAGACCCTCCATTGGAGGAGCGGAGCTTTATGCGAACTTGAGAGCAGCCCGCGGAGGGAGGTTGGCGGAGGTAAGTGGCTACTTTGTTTGGGGCTTCTTTGTTTTGAAAAGCGCCTGGGAACAATGACAATACTGTACCATTTCCGGAAAGGGCATGGAGGGTAAGGTATATGTGGTTTCTAATATGTTTCAATACGGTTTTGCGCTTTCGCTGACTGGTTCGCAGCTAGCTACATGCTCATTCTTACAGAATCTCACCCTCATCCAGTGGATGCAGGTGCTAAAGTACCCTGGTAGAAGATGTAGAAGGAGCTGCCGGCACGTTGGTAACGGTTTGTGCTTGTTGAAAGAACATGCATACAGTCGGAATCCTGAGGGTCTCCAAGTGAGGGTCGGTGAAATCCTCAAAACATCTGGAAGACATATGATGGAGAATTGCATGAACCCACCATGAAAGCCCTCACCCACCCCTCCAGTGCCAAGATGTGTCCTCTCCAACCGGTCAAGCATCTGCCAGGCGCCAAGCAGAGGCCGCAGAGGCCGCAGGCTGGCCAAGCATCCGGCAGCTTTGGATGGATGCTTGGCGCGGTGATCGTTGACTCCGAGGTCTCGGAGTGGTGAGACCGAGATGGAGAGTGATGAGACCCAGGACGCCCAATCCCAAGCAATGAGGTGTTTTTTCGCCCCATGGGTTGTATGGTGTGCTTCATGTGTGCTTCATGTTTCTCCAGGTCGCTCAACAGATGTGTGTTCCAAACAGGAAAACCTTTACGGCGATCGCTGCACAATCCAAGGATTGGCAACGCCTGGAGAGGCCGAGGCAGTTTCAGCATCGTGTCCGCAGTGCGCCAGAGCTGCATTGGCTTGAACCACGATGGGTGCGCCTTGTGGCGGCGCCACGGACGACCACTCAGCCCGGGGGTGAACAACCTCTCCTCGGGAATTGGCTGGTCAGAATTGCCATTGTTCATCATATTCCCTTACTTCTGTGAGCGTGCAAGAAACATGGTGAGGAATTCAAAGCTATAGCAACCTGCAGCTTCCACTTCCTACACATCTACTGAAGTCTAGTGACACATGCTGTATGCCATATGATTCCTTCCCATGAAGTACGCACTACGCACGCATCCCTTTTCAGGAAGACTCCCCCCCACTACCCGCCGACACGCCTCGGATTTGGCCCAGGCGGAGACCGTGCAACGCTTGGCGCGGCGCGGGGATGCGGCGGAGACCCGGAAGCGGCTCCGCCAGGCGAGTCGTGTCGGTATCTGAAGGTATTCGAGTCGACAGGGAATGGTCCGCACATCTTGGAGAAGCCCAGAGAAGATGCGGTTGACAGTTATTGGACATTTTATTGTTTTGTTGTGGGAAGAACATATCTGAAATGTTCGACTTCTTTTGGAGCGATTGTGTAATCTTGGAAGGGGTGGAAGAAGCCTTTTGAACATGGATTTTGGCTCCTCTTGTTCAGTTCAATGTCCTTCATATGATTCTGGACCGGCACAGGAAGCGGCTGGACGGCGTTTGGAGAGGTCTTACCTCTGGGCAAAGAAGCGCGCAGAGCGGCTGCTGGAGCGTGCGATGGAACCAAGGTTGGTGGTCCCGATTGCCGCAGGTTGACGCGAGTGGCACGTTGATTCTTTGGTGGATCCCAGAGTTCCGAAGGGTTGCAGGTGTACTGTACTGAGTCATGTTGAGTCTATGCACGAGTTTCTGTTTAAAGACGCTTCTTTCGGTGTGCGGCAACGCTTCACGTGTTGAGCATTGCCCGGTCTTCGGGTGGCCAGGCGCGAAGAACGCGGTGGCCGCACAAGGCGTGAGAGATAGGGAGGTGTCACAGCAGGTGGATGGGGGAAGGGAAGTTGATGAAGTTGATCACAAGTCTTGGTCACCCAAACACTTGTGTGTTTAATGTTTTTTTGTGTATATAATTATAGTTAATTATATGTTTTATATGGTGTTTTCTGTTTAGTTTAGTTATAGTTGCTTGATCTAACTTGAGAAGTTTGGGAGGTTCTGTAATTCTCATGAGTTCCATGATACTTTGCAAGCCTTGCCCGAACCTTAATGATTAACGTTCTGTGGAAACCGGTCTGGCTTCCCCCTCAAAAACGCGTCTCGAGGCGAGGGGATCGTGAGAGTCATGTGCGCTTGCGGCTGGAACTGGAGCAGAAGGATTCGGACTTTCTTTGAATCACTTGCTGGTCCCGGCGGCGTTGATGGAACGTTTTTCATGTGGAACGCCAAAGGATGGAACGTCCATCAATTTGTAATTTGGTGTAAGGTGCTATTCACCGGACCCTAAGGTTTTGTGAGATTTTGCTATGGACTAAGGGCGACCAATCCCAATCCCTTCCTTGCGCAAGGATGGTGCAAGAAATCTTGTACGGCCTTTAGGACGAGGGATATCCTACGAGAACATTTATGAACAAACACAGTGTGATCGTGGATTCTTTGAAAGTCTATTGATCGACGCAGGGCGCAGAATTGGCGCTCGGGATTGAATAGTTGCTTCATTCGCCACGAGTTCAGGTATTGATGGAAGCTGCTTATATGTCCTATAGGCTCCAGACCCGCACAGACAGTGCGGGGCGAACTGGGTAGCACCCGCTCCCAAGGCGGAAAGGATGTGAGCTGGAGCCTCTGGAGCTTCGTTTGGGCAGCATGAGTTATTTTAATGGAAAGACTCAACGATGACAAGACTTGACCCACCAGTTGGGGGCGCTCCACTCTGGTTTTCTGTTTTGTTTGGATCTTGAGTTGATGATGCCCCCTAGATGTGCAGAAGTCCTATCAGCATGCTGTTAAAACTTAGGCTTCCTTGGAGGTAAGTGTCGAAGGGTGCTTTCCATTCAGACGCCTTTTCTTTGTCATTTTCCCAGGAACCTTCTGGAACTGAACTAGATTGATTCTCGTCAGTTCATCACGCTTTGCTGTCGTTGCTTGGTTTCCCCATGTTTCGGAGCTCCAGCAGGCTTAGGGAGACGTATACTATCGTATCCTGCTCCTTTGGGAGTCTTCCGACATGAGAGACTCCTCAAAAGCCTCTGGGCGCCGCGCACGGGGCGGGGCAGAGCCCCATCGCTCCGCGAAACAAAGGCGCCAGCAGGTGCCAGCGAAGTCCGTCTAGGCGGCCGAAGTGGCCAGTGGGATCGGGAAGGGCCGAGCAAAGAAGACTTAGGGTGTTTACTTTGTCTCATTTGTGATGGAAAGGCTGGCCCTACCTGCCCATCCACAGCTCCCCATCAAGAGGGATTGCAGGAGCAACGGAGGACCTGGAAGGTGATACAAAAAAGATCAAAAAAACAAATTTAGAGTGCAAGTGTGCAGTGCTGGGGTGCGGCTTTTGGCAAAAAGATACGAAAAAAGCAACACTGAAATGGGAAGAAGATATTAACCGTGATTTGCCCGGCAGATTCTGAATTGAACTTGCTGTCCCGACTTGGCCTGTTGGCATTACTCGGCTCGAATTTCAATGTTTTTGGGCGACTGGCGAAATGGTTGCAAGGGGGCGAACTGAGGCTGTGTCCCTGAGCGTTGCCAGTTTGCACACCGCACTAACTACAAACACTGAGTGAGATCACGAAAAGTTACCTCAGGCAACCTGAGTTCAATTATTATTTTTGCTTAGGACCAGGATCCTCCCAAATGACCTGATTTTGGGGTCGTGAAAGGCAACTCTTGTCAATTTCCCTTAGTGCCTTAATCTTTGTGCCGGTGTTGCTGGTGTGATTGGATGCGTTTCGAGCTGCTCCACTTCATGTACTTCGTATCCTCCCTCCTCGTTACATTGTTTGAAACAAGCTTCATCCTCGGAGTATCATGCGAATCATGCTCTCTTTCATGCTTGTTTCAACCTATGTTCCTGCTTCCATGCTTTTGCTGGACCTCATGTGCTGTTTTGTTGCTTCTGGTTTTGCTGTTGGTGTGCTGCTGGCTTGCGCTGCTGTTGGTTTGCTGCTGCTGCTGGTTTGCTGCTGCTGCTGCTGCTTGCCAACCTTTCGTCCACCGCCCTTCTCTGAAGTAGGACATCACCGACCGCGTGCTGAGCCGTCCCAGCTAGAAGAGGGTTGAGGACGCAATGCCTTTAAATTGGCAGAAGTTTGTTGAACCCCCTGTCCTACTCCAGACCTCAAAAAGGGTTGATCAAGAAGCATGTTAGTATATGTTTAATAGAGTTCTGCTGTCAATAGACGCCGAATGCACAAATGTTGTCTGAAATGTGTTTTGCCAAAGACTCAAAAAGCGAAAGCTGTGTTTCCATGTCAATGCTGGTTCCTGGGAGCGCAGCCTCTTTCTAATTTGTTTCCCGTACAGGGCATGTACACAGCTTCAAGCGCCTGTAGACTTAAAATTAGAGCACCATTTGGATAGGGAACAACATTTACAGCACGAGCAGCAAAGAGCACGGCAGAGGGCATGGATCACGGCCGTGGGTCCCCGCCGCCATGGCAATACAGTCGTCCTGAGCCTCCTTCTTCCCAGGCGGGATACTTCCCGTTCCCAAGTCGCGGGGCGCTGGGGGTGAAGTTGTGTCGAAGTCGGGAGGTTTTGACACCGTCAAGGGCCAAAAGTGGTTCTTGTGCTTCGTCCTTTTTGCAGTTTTAGTTCAAGCAATCACCTGTGGGTTATTCCAGACATCCAAAGAGCCGGGAATTCATAGCTTGATAGAGTTCTCTACATGAGGACAACATCCCTCTCTCAAACAAACAAGTCAATCAAGTGGAATGTTTGCCTCGAATGGTTTTTAAAGAAAAAGTAAGTTTGTTGGTATCGTTTGAATTTGGTATCCGTCGTTTTCCATCATGTTTGCCCACTGCACTGACAAAGACCTAGCATGAACGAAACGGGACGCGGCAGAGTCTGTGGTGCCAGCAACTGACGGAGAAAGTGGACTCGGGGAATAGTAAATTGAGCATGTGTGGGAGACATGATATGTTTGATTTCTGAGGGTCCTGTGCATACGGACGCTTTGTGTTTTCTTCTTCAGATCGCCACTCAGGTGAACAGATGTGACATCAATGTGTTGACGAAGCGTTTCATTGACAAGCGATGAGCTTGCTATGCCCGAAACATGAACATCTTAGACAGACTTTCTTTGATGCAAGTCCCTGCCTGCGTTGGAGTACACACCCTGTGAGGCCTATGGTGGGCCCATGCAGGCCAGTGGTGGACCCATGCAGGCCTATGGTGGACCCATGGGCAAGAGGTGACTTTGGGCGATCTATGGAGAGATCGAACGCCTATGTTTGTTTCTTTTGGGCCGCTGGGACCTGGACAATCGGCCAGCGGCCGTTCTGTGTCCAAAGAATAGAATAACAAAACCTCTACAGAACAGCTACAGCTACTGTGGAGCTTACAAAAAGGGTTGGGCAGCACGCTCTTTGGTGGTCCTGCTGCCCAGCATCCTAAAAGCAACATAATCTCATATCCCATCCATTTACTATCATTTACTACTTAATAAATACGACACCTTAGGACTGAAAGGAACCCGTTTCTGATTTGGAATCCATTGGGGCAGTTGGAAAAAGTCATGGTGATTGGATGCAACCAACACGGCAGTTGCGTCACCAGATACACCTGGAAAGTAGTCGCGTCTTTTGACAACGCTTCGTCTCGCCCAGACCGCGACTGTGATGGACCGCGCAATCGTGCGGGCCGGCCCCACCTGGCAGGTGGGGTGGTGGGAGGTGTTTGTTGCACCTGGGATGATGCTTTTCTGAGAAGGTGACAGATTTGCCAAAGGAAATGTTGGTTTCCATGAAGAGGTGAGGTCTTGAGTTTGTATCGATCTGAATATCCCATCAACCGCCGAAGTATTGGAAGCCAGATTCGGGTATCAATAACTTGCCAAGGTGCGCAGATCCTTTAGGAACAAGCAGACGCAAGTATGAACGAGACAGAGGAACAGATTTTGCGTTGGAGACGGATTGGTTTCCACTGACGCTAGGCTTCCGTTGAGGCTTGGGAGTGATCAATCTTCTACATCCATCAGGATGACCCTTTGTCTGTTTGAATTTGTGTCCAGTTTGGAGAGATGCCCCTCCTAGCTGAAGTATGATAAGCTGTTTCAATGAGGTTCACGGTTCACCAATTAATTATCCAAACATTGTGTGTCATTTCCTGATTGTTTACGGTCGTTTCACCTCCAGGGTTGAGAAAGACACACCTTTCATCCTATCCCAGTTCAGCAGTGCAAGCCTCTCATTTCAGGATTCAGACTCGACTGACCCTAAGGCTCCGCTGGGCTTGGGAACGACATTGGGAACAACAAACGAACAAACGCATTACAAGAGTATCAAGCTATTGACTTTTGTTGGGTTTCAGATGCTTATAAATGTATGTGTAAAATATATATATAATATATAACCGTCCTACGGCGACCAGCCGGCGGGGTTGCACGCGCGGTTTCTCCATCCCTTGAGTCTATGCCAGCAGTTTATCCAAGTGTCACCATTCCAACGCCACATTTTCGATGCATCTCCGTGAGTCGTTACATGACACACGAAGACCTGCAGAAGGACCGTCCAAAGGATCACCAATGGACAAAATGGACCCGCCAGTACTAGACCTGCCTTCCATTGATCGTCCGGGTAGGAAAATTGATTGCGCAGTATCACCTGGTGTGTCTCACTGTGGCAATACCACCAATAGCTGTCCTCCGCACTCGCTGCCAGGCGCAATGGACTCACGGCCCCAACAGGCTAAGTTTACCAAGCAGGTCAGCACCAAGCTCAGCACAACAGGCACGGTGGGGCGAAGAAAGGATTACCAATTGTTCTTCCACCAAGAACCGAGTGCGTAAAAGACCTAAAATGTGATGGTTGCATCAAGGGGGTCGTTGGCTTCAGCACACCAAACGGTTTGGGGTTGAATGTGGGTAATGTGCGTACCTACGCTTCAATCCAATTTTGTCTGACTCTGCCAGGCAGGCTTCACCAAAAAGGCGCCGAGGGGCAGCGAAGCGGAGAGTTTTGTTGGGGACCCCCAGCAGCTAAAGATAGGATCCACTGGTACCTTACATGACAATCACAATGGTGGAGGATGAGTGCAGATTTGGCCTCTCCTGAAGTGAGGCCATGGTTTTAGAAAGCCGCGTGGTTTCTTGTGCTTGGCAACCACTTGTGAGGAAGCAAGTATTTTCACAGTTGCTTCTGGCATTGGGTGAAGCTATGTGAGACCATAGTTGGATGAAGAAACCCTGTACTAAAGAAATTCTATGTTTTTACATGCATCGTTTTGCTGAAGAATCCTGCTCGGCGGACACCAAGTAATTATCCAGCTGCCAGCTGTTTCTCCCACTGGCCGCAGGACTTCGATGAGGTCTCGAAATGGCTGGCGCAGCTTCTACGAGATCCGCGGAAAGCCAGGCAGTCTATGAGGGCGCCGACTTGACTGAGCCGGCTCGTTGGGCGGGAGGGCAAATGGCGAATGCGCCCGCCAAAGAGGAGGCCTTTGGATGTTGATGGGTGTAATTATCGGTGTATGGTATGGAAGGGAATTGGAGAGATTGGCAAGTCTCCGATTTCCAGCATGGTCGATTTCCAGCTGGCTGAAGTGCCTCGCAAGTTGGCAATTGTTGCATGCCAAGAAGAACCCATGGTCATGCACGAGTAACCGTTTGTCAAGACACCCAGCGGATCAGATTTTGGCTGGTTTTGTCGGGCACTTTTTGCGGCCGGGTTTTGGTGGAGTTTGGGACTCACATCAACTAGGCCTACGTAGAGTCTTTTGATTCTAATTTGTATTTAGGATCTTCAAGTACGTTGCTTGAGGTTCACAAGCAAGACAATCCTTTGAATCGCACGAGGCAGGAAGGATTGTCTAATATATATATATAATGTATATTGTGAGTTGTACGCTGTACAACATGTTTTCACTTGAAGCATACCCGTCCGCACCGCAGGGCGGGCTTATGAGCTCAAAACAGGTTTCGGCCGCGACGCGCGCGAGCGCGTCCCAATTCGTTTCGCGGTGTGTCTTGGTCGCTTTGCTTTCCTCTACTTTGGCCACTTGGACCTTGACTACACACCACCCGCTACGTTGGACCTCGTTTGCCATCGTTAGCTTCGCATTGGTAGCGGAGCCCAAACCCGTGAAGGGGGAGGGCTCCAGCTGCGCACTCCGGTTCCTCGAGCCGCACGCTCTCGACAAGTCCTTCGGTGACTTCCCTCTGCGGACTTGGCCACGCTCCTGTTTCCTGAGTTCTTTGTTGGACACCCTGTTGGGAGGAGCACGGCGGAGATCTTTGTCCCACAGAATGCCGCCGCCAAAGCAGCAGAAGGGAGATGGAAGAGGAGCGTCGAGCTCGACGACATCCAAGCCAGATGAGACTGGCTATGCTGACCTTCGGGACTCCTATGTTCCCCTCTTCTCCGGGCAGCCGGCCGACTACAAGGAGTGGCGTCAACGCATCCAGCTCTACCACCGCAAGATGTCGCTCTCCAAACGGTCCCAAGAGAGTGTTTTGAACATTGTCGGATCGTTCAAAGGTGTAGTCTGGCGCCTATTCGAAGACTGGGGCATCGACAAGCTGGAGAAGGACAACGCCTTTGAAGACATGCTCAAGGTGTTGGATGGCAATTTCGCCTACGACCAACGGGTCCAGTTGCCATCGGACTTCGAAGGCTGAGCCTTCCTGATGAAGTCCAAGGTTGGCACCTCCTCCGTCGTGCAGCGCTGACAAAAGAACAGCGACAACTCCTGATGCTGAAGGCACCCACCCTCGAGAAGGCCACAGTCATCGAGGCCATGTACCTGATTCTTGGACAAGACTATAAGGGTGGAGGTTGGAACCACGACCGCAACCGGCGATTCTCCAAGTGGACCAACAAGGCCTACACTGCTCAGGACGATTGTGAGGAGATGGATGAAGAACCAGTCTGGGAGGAGACTGGCTACTACGAGGAGGACTACCCCATCGGGGACTATGACCATGAGGAGGGTGATTTTGATGATGAAGCTGGTTACTATGGAGGTCAGGACGATGATGCACCCTGGCCGGACTCCAATGAGACCACGAGTCCAGAGCAGATGGCTGAAGAGTTTGACACTGCCTTCGCCTCCTACACGGACGCTCGCAAACGCTTCAATGAGTTGAAGATGGCTCGTGGCTTTCTCCCTGTCGTTGCACTCACTGAGCAACAGCCTCTGCAGACAGCAGCTTCTTCGTCCTCATCCCCTACGGCATCCTCATGGCAGAGAAAAGGAAAAGGGAAAGGGGGAAAGAACAAAGGAAAAGGTCGTGGCCCCTCGGCGACCATTCGATTCTCCCCACAAGGCGCTGGAAAGAGTGATCCAAAAGGAAGAGCGCGCGCCAACATGACGTGCCTTCGTTGTGGACAACAAGGTCATTGGGCTGCAAACTGTCCACAATCCAGCTCGCCTACCTCAAAGGGCTCAAGCTTGAAGCGACCTGCACCAACCGAGAGCATGGCACAAGTGGCTGAACAAGCCCTGATCATCTTCGAGGACAAGAACGGCACTCAGCGTCCTGACTGTGTGATGCTGGATCCTGGTGCCAGTGCCTTTCTCTCAGGATATGGTCCCTTCCGTCGCTACTTGGAGCACCTCAAGTTCGACTGCAACTTCCCCATTGAGAAGATTGCCATGACCCAAGGAAAACGAAGATTCCAGTTCGGTGGCGATGCTGCATCTTGGTCTACCTGGTCGGCACACCTCCCGGTGTTCCTGGATGGTCGCTACGGAACAGTGCAGTTGTTCCTCTTGCCCGGCAACACGCCTATGTTGTGCGGTCGCCCCATCATCGAGGCTCTTGGCATGACCATGGACTTTGCCATGAAGCGGATTCGCATTGGCAGTTCAAGTTGGCAAGAAGCAACCATTGGCCGTCAAGGTGAGTATTTGCTCTCGCTCACGATGGAGCACGACCTTATGCAGTACGACCCTGACCAGCCTGACTTCGCCCTCAAGACCGCTGAACCTGATCTACCGCAGATTGATGGCTTCACCCTGCACGACTTTGAGCAGGAGGAACAAGGGTTCACAGTCAGTGAACGAGCTGAAGTGGTGGACGACACTGCCACCAAATGTCTCCGACGACATGACCTCAACACCATGGACGTGCAGCTCAGGACTCACCTCAATGAGCTGTCAGCCTATGTGACACGTCACCTACATCCTCCAGAACAACAGCCGAAGCGTGTCCTCTGGGAGGTCTACTGTGGCTCAGCTCGCACTTCACAAGTGGCTGAAGCGCTGGGAATGAGTGTTCGATGCTTTTCATTGGATACTGGCTGGAACTTCGATCGACTTGATCATCAAGAAGCCTTCCGTCGGGAGCTCGATGAAGAAGCACCAGATGAGTTGCTCATGGCACCTGAATGCAAGCTCTGGAGCCGCATGCAAACCCTGGCACGAAGAACACCTGCACAGCAAGAAGCACTGATTGCAGCTCGACATCATCACCATGATCGTCATCTGTGCTTCGTACGCCGTGCCTACCTCAAGCAGGTTGAAGGTGGACGACACGCCCATGTGGAACAGCCCAAGCATGCGCTTTCCTGGAAGACCAAAGCACTTCGTGACTTACCTGGTCGACGCGCCGACTTTGACCAATGTCGCTATGGAGCAACATGTCAAGATGAAGACATGGTCTGGCGCCCAGTCAAGAAGAGCACCACCATCATGACCACCAAGCAGGCCATGCAGAATGCCCTCACGCTGACGTGCAATGGTGAACATGATCACTGTGCACTGGAAGGATCTGCTCTTGGTCTTGGCCCTCGCACCAAGTACATGGAGAACTACCAGCCTGCACTTGCAAGCACCATTGCTTCTGCACTCCTCATCGATGAAGCACCTCAAGCTTGGGAGACGGCACACACGTCTTCAGAGCAGAAGCTGGTGACTGGCAACTTGGTCAAGCTGCGTGTTGATACGAAACAAGAGGCCATCCGAGTGGTTCAACGTCTCCACAGAAACCTTGGTCATCCTTCCACGAAAGAGCTCACCGAACTGCTGGCCGCTCGAGGAGCGAATGAAGAAGTACTTCGTGCTGCGCGCTCCTATGTTTGTGTGGCTTGCGCTAAGTACAAGAAGCCTGCAGATGCTGCACCGGCATCTCTACCTGTGAGCACCAAGTTCAACGATGTCTTGCAGGCAGATGTCTTCTGGCTGCGTCTCAAGAATGCCGTCAAGTACCCCGTCCTCAGTGTGGTCGACTTGGCAACTCGCTACACAGCAGCTGTCTTGTTGCGCTCAGAGCAATCCGAGGAGCACATTCGTGGTCTTGAACGTTGCTGGATTGCACACTTCGGAGCCCCACAGCGACTTGTCACTGATGAAGGACGTGGATGGCTGAGTCAGACCTTTGAGACCTGGACCAACGCCCACGGCATTGAGCACACCGTTGCCCCTGGTGAGGCACATGAACGTCTGGCCATCGTTGAACGAAGACATGCCATCCTTCGCAAGTCCATTGAGGTCTACATGGATGACATGCAGCTGAATGACGCCTCTGGCATCAAGGAGGCGCTTACCTACTGTGTGCCCCAGATGAATGGCACGCCTTCAGTTGCTGGCTTCTCTCCGACCCAATGGGTTCTTGGACACCAACCTCAACTTGCTGGCAGTCTTCTTGGTGACAACTTCCACCCTGGACACTTTGGCGGACATGAAGCCTTTGAGGCCATGTTGAACAAGCGCACCGCTGCTCAGAAAGCTTTGATCGAAGCTGATGCCGATCGTCGCCTTCGACGTGCTCTTGGTGCCAAGTACAAAGGCTTGAACTCCGAGTACAGCCTTGGTCAACAAGTTTGGTTTTGGCGTGACGCCAAACAGCCCGATCTGGTGAAGATTCGTTGGCTTGGCCCTGCCCAGATTGTCATGAAGGAGTTCAAGGTCGATGACACTGGACAGCAGCGAGTAAATGTCTATTGGCTGGCCTACAAGACCCAGTTGATCCGCTGTGCACCTCACCACGTCCGTGCTGATGTCAAAAGCTCAGGACATGCCCTGAACGATGTGCAGAAAGCTCTCACTTCGGTTCGTCAGCTCAAGTCTCGAGGAGTGACCAGGTACTATGACCTGCACCACTTGAACAAGCGCAACCTCGCAGAGGTCGAGACAGATGAGCACTCCGAAGAGCTTCATGGTGATGTGATGGAAGAAGATTCTGACCACGAGATGACACCACCAAGACGACGGCCACGCCTACTGCCACCTGGCGTGGAACCTCCTCAGGCCTCAGAAACTGTTGCTGCACCGACCTCCATGCCACCTGGCATTTCATCGGCGGCACCGGCAGTACCCTCGGCTGAGGAGTACGAACCAACATCACCAGCACACACAGAGCCACAAGACATAGCACCACCAGCGGCAGCGGCAGACACAAACGACACGGCAGCGGCAGATACACAAACCCCAGGTCCACTACCACGGGTCCCAAGCTCGATCTCAATATCCGAGCCAAGCGAGGAGCCGCCTGCCATCTCGGCAGCTCCAACACCTCATGCATCACGACCACAAGCAAGCATGACCCAAGAGCGACCATCGCTCGATCCGGTGACCGCCCAACTGTATGAGACAGTTGAAGGTGAAACCTTTCAGCAGAGGAGAGCTCGACTGAACAAGCAGGAGACTCTCAGCTTCGCGCCTTTCCGAAGCAGACCGAAGCCACCTGACACGAGGCCATATGATCCTGAACATCATCCAGCTCGACCAAATGACGAGCATGAGCTAGCTGGCCAGGCCTTCTACCTGGACGACCTGGACACCAAAATGCTGCCCAGCGGATGGTTCATGGATGAACATGGATTCCTCCAACTACATGATCGCACTACCGACTACTGGGAGCTGAAAGCTGGCTGTCTGATCAGGCATCATGTTGTGCCCCGTCGTGGACGCCTACACCTTGAGCATCTTCCCAAAGATTGCCCGGTCAATCCTGACCAGCTGGATAGTGTGCGTGTGACACTGATTCACCAAGGTGGAGGCAAGAGCCGTTTGACCACTGATAGCGGATATGATGGCAGTCCTCCCCCTGGAGTTGAACACACTTGGACTGGAGCAACCATCTTCCAGCTCAACGGCAATACTCGCAGAGAACTTGCTATGTACAGTGGACACCAACAGTTCACAAGTGCAAAACAGCAAGGAAAGGACCAAAAGCTCGCCAAACAGAAGAAGTTCAAGAAGGACAAGAGCGCAGTGAATGAGCGGGCATTGGGTCCACAAGAGCGAGCGATGTTCAAGGAGGCCAAGGTGAAGGAGTTGAAAAGTTTCTTTGACCATCATGTGTGGATCTTCCAGTCCACCAAGGAGGCAGACCCATCCAGGACTTTGACGTCAAGAATCCTGTTGAAGTGGTCCCGGAACCCTGACGGTTCTCCAAGGGCGAAAGCTAGATTGATCGTGCGCGGTTTTGCTGACCCCGACGCCCTGGCTGGAAGCATTGAGACATCAAGTCCTACCACAACTCGACTGTCTCGCTCTATGTTGCTGTCCCTGGCCACCACCATGCACTGGACCACCTGGACCGCTGACCTTCTTGCAGGGGCGTGAACAGGACAGAAAGTTGTGGGTAAAGTTGCCATCAGAAGCTTTGGCTCTTCTGGGTGCCGATGAAGACACCCGCATGTTGCTTCTGAAGCCCTGTTACGGCCAGATCGATGCGCCCAGAGGCTGGTATCTTGAGGCAGTTGATCGCCTTCGTCGTGGAGGTCTTCGGCAACACGCCCTCGATCCATGTGCATTTCTCATCTATGAGACTGATGATGACCACTTCAATGAGCACGACCCCATCCACCAGCAGGTCAACTCACTGGGATCTGAACGCCTGGTGGGCATGGTCATCATGCACGTGGACGACCTTTTGGGAGCCGGCTGCCCGAACAGCCCTCGATATGCTGCAGTCGTTGAACAGCTCAAAGAAAACTTCTCCTTCCGGGAGTGGAAGGAAGATCTTGATGTGATGGAGTATTGTGGTTGTGAGCTGCAGCGCACACCTGAAGGTGGAAGAAAATTGCACCAAGGCAAATACTTTGACAAGGTCAAGCCCATCGCCTATGACAAGAAGCTTCCTCTCCACCAGCCGCTCAACGAGCGTGAAGTGACTCAGTTGAGGGGCCTACTTGGTTCACTGCAGTGGCCCGCAGTACAGACCTCACCACATTTACAGTGCAGCACATCGTTGATGGCCGCCCATGTCTCCCATGCCACTCTGCAGACCGTCCAGGACTGCAACAGGTTGCTGAAGTTTGCAAAAGAGAACAAGGACATTGGCCTTGTCTACAACCACCTCGGTCCTACAGAGAAGTTGCGCTTGTTGTGTTTCTTTGATGCTGGTTTCTCCACTCGCCTCGACGGGTCATCGCAAGGTGGCTATGTGTTGATGATGGTCAACGAGGACCTCATGCATTCCGCCGAGGGGGGAGAATATCACATTTTGGATTGGCGCAGCTTCAAAACCCCGAGGGTGGCAAGGTCATCTTTGGGAGCTGAGGCACAAGCTGGCGGTCAAGCCAGTGACGCCGTCGACTTTGCTTGTCGGTTCTGGCACCATCTCATGGAACCCCACATGCCCTTGAAGCAGTTGCTGGAGGTCCAGTCCTCCCTGAAGCCTGTGATGATCACAGATGCGAAAGCTCTTTACGACGCTTTTCATCGTGAAGGTGCAAGCTCATCCGTCGTGGACAAGCGTGTGAGCCTGGAGATTCGTGTGATGAAGGAGCGCTTGCTGGAACTTGGGGGAAACCTCAAATGGATGAGCAGCGATCGTCAGATCGCCGATGGCCTGACTAAGGAATCTGCTCGAACCTTGTTTGCAGCTCGCCTGAAGCACCAGAAGCTGAAGCTCACCTGGGATCCCACCTACAAAGCCATGAAGAAAAAGACCAAAGACGAGAAGAACACAGCCTTGGCTGAGACAACCTCCCAGGTCCATCATCAGAAGCCTGATGATTTCATTCCCAGGTCCGAGGAGATCATGGAAGATGAGTTTGTTGGCCCGGAGGAGTTTGTGAACTTTGTCCACTCCACGGACATGATTCCGTATGTCCTCGCCACAAGCCATGTCGTGAAGCGCCGCATGAAGTATGACACCAAGGGTCGCTCGAAGAATTTCATGTTTTGGATGATTTTCTTGTTTTTGCTGCAGTGCTGTCAAGCAGCACCTCCTACGTGTTTGGCGGATGAACCACCGCCACCGTCGCAGCTGAGCGATGAGCACTGGTTGGCCCTCTTTGCAGCAACACCCCTGGCGATTGCAGTGATCGCCTTCCTGCTGGGCCGATGGTCGAAAGGTGAAAAGAAAGAGAAGGAAGAGATGAAGATTGAAGAGGAGAAGGTGACCACCGCTGACGCCTTCACTCAGAAGGATGAGCCTGTTGTCCATGCACGACTTCGGGAAGCCCTGAAGACCGAGCAGGCCAGAGTGAATGAGTACAAGCTGGCAGCTCGCGAGTCTCGCCGAGCTGTGGATTTGGCCATGACGGAGATCCTCAACCTTCGTCCGCTCGTGCAGGATGCTGCACCCATGTTCCGTCGCCTGATCACCGCGATGGATGATCACATGGACCAATGCCCGCACCGACAGCCGATCGTAGCCTCCAGGAAGAATGGCATCTGCTGGCACTTTCCCACGTGCCACTGTGCGGAGCAGATCACCGAGCCGAACTTGCTGCAACTCCGCATCTGTGCCTACTGCGGAGATCATCGCAGTCCGCTCGACTTCCCGAGTCCAAATCCCTCTGTCTCGCAGGGAAACTGCTTGAGAGAAGAGGTGACTACGTGGCTGGCTGACTACAATGTCTGCCGGTCATGGTTTTCCGACCCTGAGCACAGGTAAGAACATCGCCTGTGTGAGTTGTACGCTGTACAACATGTTTTCACTTGAAGCATACCCGTCCGCACCGCAGGGCGGGCTTATGAGCTCAAAACAGGTTTCGGCCGCGACGCGCGCGAGCGCGTCCCAATTCGTTTCGCGGTGTGTCTTGGTCGCTTTGCTTTCCTCTACTTTGGCCACTTGGACCTTGACTACACACCACCCGCTACGTTGGACCTCGTTTGCCATCGTTAGCTTCGCATATATATATATATATATTTGTTTGTGTTTTGTAGTGGTCACTTGCAGCCTGGCCTGGCGTCAACAGGAAGTACAATTTGGAGCTGGACCACGATGGATGGGCGAAGTTCCAGGCACAGATTGTGGAGTGTCTTGTGATGTCAACAGACTTCCGCAAGAGGACCTTTGGTAAGTTCAGGAACAATGGGCCTTGCATTTGGAGAGAAACCATCTTCGCAAAAGTAAATATGGTGCAATCTGAAAATGCCCTCAATCACTGCTTTGCTTTGTCCCAGGAATCTCGCAGAATATGCGAAAATAGATAGCGAAAGGACTCTCTCCAACTCTCGACCATTATGCAGAAGTGTGACCAAAGTGCGGTTGTCTATGGTTGCCTCATTTTGCAAATGTGTTCACAAAAAGTGTATCGGGGAACTTCGCACCCTCAATCCACAGGTTCACCATGGTTCACCGTTAGTGTTATTTTAGAGTTAGATGAAGAAAATCCGGAACACCATATTGGTATCAAAGGATTATACAGTATATACTGTGTTTGATGGATCTGATCGACATGTTTTCTGTGGGGCCTTTGTGTCCATCAATAGAACAGCCAGTCGTTTGGTCCCAGCCTCCCCGTGCGTCCGGCTCGAGAGGACGTGGAAAGGTGCCTTCGTGGTCACCGCAGCGAGCTTCGCCGCCGGTTGGTGCCATTGTTGAGGCCATCAGCTGGATCCACGGGATGGGAACCTATGACCTATGGGAGTAAGTATGTGTTGCCTAGAGTCAGGGGTAACCTCCCTCACCGTTTCGGGCGAGACAAGAGGGCAGAGACACCACGCGAACCTGGCTTGTTCAACGCTAAGCTATAATCCATCCTGGCCCCTGATAGCAGATACTGTAAGTGAAGAAAGTGTTCCTATCTCGAGCTATTTACTTTTGTTGTACATGAGCTGCTTTGAAGTGGGGTATCGAACACTCTTTCAAAAGGAAAACCTTCGGAGGGTGTATTCTTACAGTTCATGGAAATAAAGCAAAATTCATCAAACTCCTATATACAAGGAAAAGGCTGTATATAAGATTGGCAAACCCCTCAAAAAGTCCTTCACGTTGTGGCTCATGCTGACAAACCCAAGGATGGTGGGCCGGATTGGATCCTGTTTTCATGATCCTCCACTGGATTTCTGGATCTGGATTTTCTGTGGCTGACAAGGCAGAGTCTTCCATAATATATACTGTATATATATATATATGATTATATATGTTATATATACTAGTGTACTTCAACACATTTCAATACGGATGAGGTACGATAGTCTTTGGGCAATTTGCGGTAGTCTTTTCTTGGATGTTTGTACCTCCTCCAGAGCCGCGGTTGGCCCAATGTCACCAAACTTAACGAGATATAATGAGTCTTCTTTGTGATACTCAAGATACTCAATCGCGCAAGGCGTTAGACGTTTGGAGCCTTACCAGTAGCCCAAAGCAACGCCCCAATTATGCTTGGAGGTGAATGTGAACATGCCCACTCTTTGTCCCCAGTGATGTGTACTTTGTACACGGACAGGCATTCTGCGAAGATGATTTTGGTCTATCAATGAACTTATGGTGCGGGGCGGGGCTGTGTTGGCGTTCGTTATCATTGCTATGAATATTGCTTAGGCACGCATGGCATTTGCTGCAGTCCCAGTGATGCAAGTTGTGATGCAACCCAAAGTCATGCATGTTCCGGGCCAACAAATAGCCTACGCTTGAATCTGAACATGAGAACCGTGCCACTCCTGCTGGACTCTAGCGTGAAAATGAAAACACCTTCGGCTTTTGTAGATGTTGTAAACTCGATGAGAAACTCGCAAAACCAATGACAGAGTCGTGTTATCATATAATGAATTATAGTAATTGTAAGACACTATATGTGCCAAATAGAGCTAGCATTACATGCACCACAAGACTTGATCTAACTGTATAGGCCTTTTTGAAGCTCAAAGTAAAAGTCCGCATGGTAGCGGAGCCGGGACGAGGATTTCAATAGATCTCCTCTGAGCTCCAGCAGACGGGGACTGGACCCACATCCCCAGCTAGCTCGGGCCCTTCGTGTTGCTTCGACCGCGCCGAGCCACCATAAACTAGTGTGGCAATCAGTGCCTGTGGCTATAGCAAGAAGCAGATCACGATCATCCCGGACTACATCTTTGCCCTTTGCTTGGAGGTTGATTTGGCCCTTGAGGAGGTCCTACCAGCAGGTCATCGAGAAGGTTCTTGAGTATAAGGTGGGAGAGTTTGCGCTTTGAGGCGAGCAGCATGGATGGGTCTGGAGGCCAGGAGGTCTATGGGGTAATGGCATCCATGCCGGAGCTCACACAGGCTCTGATCAATGCAGCACAGTCTGCAGCCCAAGCCGCCCAAGCAGCTCAAGCGGCATCCTCTTCAGGTGGAGTTGAGGGAAGCAACAATGGAGTGCTGAAGAAATGTTTGGCGAAGCTCATACCGAGGCCTGGTTCATTTTCTCCCTCAGACAGAGAGCAAGAGGTTCTTCAATGGAGGGATTGGTACTGGGTCTCAAGCAGTACTTAGTGGTGGTTGATGGCAGTTTCCAAGAAGAGATTGAACGCATTGAGGAGAGCATGTCAAATGAAGTTGACTGGGATTTGATGAGCAAGGCTGAGCAAGAGAGGAGTCGATTTTTGTATAGCTTGTTGGGAAGCTTGGTGCAAGAACGCCTCATTGGTGTTGTGAAGAATGTGGAGAACTTCATTCAATGGCTATGAAGCTCTTCGACAGATGTTGAGCAATTGCCAACCCCAAGCACGCAATCGCACCATGAATCTCCTGCAAGGGATTATGGCATATCCTTCATTCAACATGAAGGGATCATTGCTGCCCCAGATACTCAAGCTTGAAGAGCACTTCCTTCAGTATGATCGGTTGGGAGGAAGCAAATTGTCCTCGGACATGAAGTCGGCAGTTCTTTTGAGAGCAGTGACCGGCCAGATGAAGGTGCATCTCAACCTCACGCTCAATGAGGGAAGCTCCTATACAAAGATCAGAGAAGCAATCTTAGCCTTTGATACTGCAACTACGAAATGGAATGAATCGGCAGCATTGTCATTCAATTTGAGCCCAATACAACCCGCAAGTGATCAAGGAGGACCAATGCCGATGGAAATTGATCGAGTGCAGCAAAAAGGCAAGGACAAGGGCAAAGGCAAGAGTAAAGAGTCAAAGGGGAAGAGCAAAGGCAAAGATGACAAGGGCAAGTCCAAAGGCAAGAGCTTTGTGGCGCAGAAAGGTGGTACAAAGGATGGCAAAGGTAAGGGTGGTAAGGACCAAAAAGGGTGGAAAAGGAAAAGGCAATGGAGGAGATGTTTGCTGGACATGTGGAAAAATGGGTCACCAGTCCAAAGATTGCTGGAGGGTGAGACAGATTGAAGCCCCGCCAGCAGCGAGCATTAGCAGTCAGCAGACAACATCATTGTCGACTACAGCCACCAGTACGACCACCGGGACAGATGCAAACAAGGCCATCCGAAGAGTTTCACAGCCCCTCTTCTTCGACCTTCGAGAAGAAAGTGATGGAGAGTGTGGCTCAATTCGTATATTGAAGGAGCAAGGCCATGCTTCTATGAGTGTGGATTTTTCCGCATGGACATTGATGAGGACGAGAATGAATTGAAGGCAATGGTGAACACCGTGCGAGAAGAGCAGACAGAAGTAGAGGGTGAAAGGTGGCCAGAGCAAGAGGAGCAAGATGAAGAGTCCCTCACGATCATTGTGGACTCGGGTGCTGATGCTTCTTTGTTTCCAGGCCATCTGATGAACAAAGGAAAGCAAGTGCATGAAGTGTCGCCTCTTCTCCAAGATGCTCAAGGCACCAGGATTCAAACCTATGGCCATAAGGACATTGACATTGTCCTGGCAAGTAGTGAAGGCAGGAAGGTGGTTCTTCGAGAGCGTGTGACCTTCTGCGATGTGGTGAGCCAGCCCATTCTCTCATTCGGGAGGCTGATGAAGGCTGGTTGGTCCATAGATGGAGTGGGCGAGTGCTTGAGGAATGGTCCAGTGGAGGTGCCGTTGATGTTTCAGAACCGTAGCTTGGTGGTGAAGGGATGCCTAGGGTGATTCGACAAGCCAACACGGTTCGCACGTTGACGGTTCAGCTCAGTGAGGAGTTGAAGAAAGCAGCTGAGAGTGGTTTCGGCTGGCAGAAGAAAGAAGGTTTTTGGATGGGTCTTCACCTCAGCAATAGCTATCAAAACCGCATCCCAGAGCTGAGAACCCAAAGTTCAAAGATGCGTAGGTCTACTTTGGTGCAACGTGGAGAGCACTGGGAGCTTGTGGAGATGGCAGAGCCTTTGATGGGGCTCCAAGATCAGGAGGAACAGATTGAGGAACTGCGAGGACATGAGCAGAGTAAGGTGCTCACATTCGTGGCTGAGGAAGGGAATGACCCTGAAGCCTTCAGTTTCAAGATTGAGGATGAGCAGGGGATCCCAAGGCCAAGTCAATCTGACTTGGAGGAGTTGGAGGTTCCGAAAGCGCCCGCAGATGAAGATTTGAAGAGTTCTCTGGAATAGAGGTTCCAGGGGAAGTTGAAGACCATGGAGTTGATCTGGATGACCAAAGAGTTGAGCATGAGATTGGAAGGCCATTACCAAGGAGCATCAAGGTGAATGGCATTGGGTTGACAGCAGATTCGTCACCAGAACAAGCTAGAACTTCTTCTAGCCAAAGACCTTGCAGCAAGGGAAAAGCATTTGAGGAGCGGATTCCCATCGGCAAAGATGCCTACGGAGGAAGAGAAGAAAAGGCATTACTTGACTCATCTTCCTTATGCCAGCTGGTGTTCGTCTTGCGTAAAACAGAGCAAAGCAAGACCAACATAGAAGGACGGGCAAAACACATGAACAAGGAGTCCCGACCATCTCTTCGAGTGCGAGCCAGCGGGTCTGGCGCCCTGGGTCTACAGGAGCAGGACGAGGCGCAAACTGGTGTAGCTGAGGAAGGAGGAGCTTTGTTGCTCGTAGCGGTATGCTCAGAAACAGGATCATTGATGGCATTACCGTTGAAGACAAAGAACCAGATGTCGCTGATCACCCACGAGTTGATGGCATTCACCCAGGTCCTAGGTCATGAAGCGGTGATGTACTTGGCAGACAACGAGCCAACAGCCCGGCAGATCCTTCGATTGCTAGTGGCTTCTCGCAGTGCTACTGGATTGAAAACGAGCTCAAGAACAACAAGAATTTATGACTCGGCTGGGAATAGCCTTGTGGAAAATGCAGTCCAGAGAGTGAGGAGCTTGGCAGCGACTTTGATGGAAGATCTTGCTGGAAGAGTTGGATTGAGATTCAGTTCGCAACACCCTTTGTGGAGTTGGGCATGCAGACACAGTGCATGGTTGATCAATCGATATCAACCCTTCCAAGGTGTAACCAGCTATGAGCTCACCCAAGGCAAGGCCTATGAAGGGAAGATCAGTCCATATGGGGAAGTCTGCTTTGCATATACCAAACCGAAACAAGGTTTCAAAGCGGATCCAAAGTGGAAGATTGGCATTTGCTTAGGCAAGACAGATCTGCAAGACAATTGGATCATTGGAGATGGCAACCGTGTCTTTCTGAGTCGGTCGGTGAGAAGGGTGGCTAATATGAGCAAGGAGTACCTGGCCTGTTTCCAAAACTTCACAGCATACAGTTGGGAGTATCAACAAAACTTCGGAGGAAGAATTGTTCCATCGAAGAGACTTGCATCAATGGTTGGCGCCCAGATCAGCGTCCCTTTTCCGGAGGTAGCAGATGATGATCAAGATACTGAAGAGGTTCTTGCATTTAGCAGATCCTTTGCAGGAAAAGTGGAAGAAGCCCGGGATTTGGTCGCCGAAGGAGAGAAGGTGAAAGAGAAGCAGCCTGAGTTGAGTCAGAAGGAGACTGCAGAGGAAGCTCAGGTCCGAGAAGATAAGAAGAAGACCTTTGAGGAGGATCCAATCCCGGAGTTGGTGCCAGTTGCGGCAAGAGATCCTGACCAGTTTGATGAGAACAGGAATCAAGCAGGTCCTTCAACACCGAGACCTATGGCTCAGAAAGTGGCTGCATCCCAGAGTGATCAAGAACCAGAGGGCAAGAAGCTGAAGCAGTTCATAGTCTTGAGGCGGATTCACCAGCATCAAAGAGGTTGAAGGCAGATGATGCCGTGGAGAGAAGGCTGGAGATGACTCAGGTGGGTGAAGATATCTACTACCACCTTGATCAGACAGTGGGGCAGGAGGAGTTGTGGTCCTATGACTATGAAGTTCATGAGGCCGAGGAGGAAGAGAAGCATGAAGTGCCGGAAGCACCACTGGACAGAACCCCACCAGATCCGCCGAAGTGGATAGACGATTTGGCAGACTCAGTAGAAGAATGGAGGCTGAAGAGATTGGGAGTCCTGGAGTCCATTGCAGAGCTGCAGGAAGACCACAAAGTACTGACGACTAGATTTGTGAGAGACTGGAGGATCAAACCAAATACCGCCAAGGAAGGGTCACGGAAGATGTTCTTGAGACGCTCACGTCTGGTAGCCAGGGAGTATGCCAACCACAAGCGGGATGATGTTCACAGTCCTGCAACGGGGTCACAAGTGTTGAGACTTCTTCCTGTGGTCTACTTGATGAGGAGGTTTGAAGAAGAGTCAGGAGGGCCAAACTTCGTGTTAGGTGCCTTGGATGTCAAAGATGCTTTCCTGCAGGTGCCTCAGCAAAAGCCCACGCAGGTGACTACAGCAGGGGGGCATTTCCTAGTGAAGCGCAACCTGCCAGGGCAGAGGATTGGTGCAAAGGCATGGTTTGAGCATCTGACGTCGTGGCTGAAGACAGAAGGATTTGTCTTTTCGCAGGTCAATCCATGCTTGGGCCGCTTAGAGTCAAAGGCACTACTCCTTATCCATGTTGACGATGTCTTGTTCACAGGAGAGAGAAAGTATCTTGAAGAGAAGTTGCTGCCAGCATTGAGAGAGAACTATGAGATTTCGGTGCAGTACCTGACGGAACCAGGAACTTCTTTCCAGTTCTTGAGGAGGACCTATGAGCCCTGAAGATCATGCCTGGAAAGTATGCGGAGACGATGATCGAAAGCTATGAGGCTACAATGGGCAAAGCAAAGAGTCAGAAGCTGCCATGTACGCAGGAAATGCTTGAGCCTGATGGGACGACCTTGCTTGAGCCGGAGTTGGCGAGCTTATTTCGGTCTGTGGTTGGTTGTGGCATTTACCTCTCACAGGAGCGCCCTGACGTGGCCTTTGCGATAAAGGAGTTGGCAGGATCCATGTCGAATCCTACCACAGGAAGTCTTCGAAAGCTGGGCAGATTGATCGGGTATCTGAAGAATACCTTGGGCCAACACACCATTCTCGAGATGCCTGAACCAGGAAGAGGACTCATTGTCAAGACCTTAGAGACCAGATGGTTGCTTGAGACTTTCAGCGACAGTGACTGGTCGGGTTCAAAGAGCACAAGAAGATCAACTTCTTCTGCGATCCATATGGTGAATGGTGTAGTGGTGATGACAAGTTCAAGGGGTCAGAAATCGGTCAGTCTTTCTTCGGCAGAGGCTGAGTTGAATGCATTAGTTTCCGCAGCAGCAGATGGCATTTATGTCAGAAGATGTCTCGAGTTTTTGGTCGATCAAATGGTGCACATGGAGTATGACTGCTTGGTGGACAACTCGGCAGCTGTACATGTAAGCCATAAAAGAGGACCAGGCAAGTTGAGACATATTGATGGCAAACTGCTGTGGATACAAGATTTAGTAGCTCAGAAGACTTTGAATGTCAAGCCCATTAGAAGGGTGTACAACATCGCAGACTTAGGCACAAAGCCACTTACCAAGGCAAGGATCCATTTGATTCTCTACTGGTGCAATACCTACGACGGTCAAGGAAGTCGTATCGGCCAAGATGAACATGACAGGCTGACGGAAGGCAATGCCAGTAGGAGCAGTGTCAAGAGGCTGGCCAAGTTCCTTCACAGGATTATGCTTTTGGCTGGCCTTGAGCATGTGGCTGGAGAGCGAACCTATGTGGAAACGGACAACAATACACCAGAGAACAGCCGTTGGACAATAGTCTCCATGATGCTACTCTTGGTGATCATTGCAGGCCTGTGCATTGTCATCTACAAGATGTGGGAGAGATTGAAGGTGATTGAAGAAGAGCTGGTGGAGATCAAAGATAATGCCAAGACTGATGGCATGATGATTGGAGCCTATGGTCATGAAGCACAAGAGGGCATTCGAGATGTCAGAAGCTACATGCAGCGAGTTCACAAGGGCTTGATCAAGGCATCCGGATACATTGATACAGAAGATGTTGAACCATGGGAATGGCTTTATTGGGACTACATTCAGAGATCCAACAAAGACTTCGATCTGAGCAGGCTTGATAGCCAATTGCAAGCCTACAGAGAAGAAGAGTCAAAAAGGAACAGACCCCAAGCCAGAGTCCATCTTCCAAGTGGAAGACCTATAGAGGAAGAAGAAGAGGAAGAAGAATTGAGGCCGGGAGACACAGCCACAGTCCGGTTGGACTCAGGCGAAGTGGTCAACATCCCAATGGAGTACTTGCAGCCAAGTGAGCCAGAAAGTGAAGTTGAAGATGAAGAAATGGAGGTGGAAACAAATCTTCATGATCCACAAGATGACCGAGATGTAATGCAGAATCCGGATCAAGGCGGAAGACCAGTAAGCTCAAGTGATCGAGAGGATCCAACAAGAATTCAGGCAACACATGGCCGAATTCGTGATGGACAAGTTTGGAGTCTGAAGAGCTTAGATCAGCCGAAGCAGCGAGCTAGTTTGAGGGCACGACAGCACCTACTACACCTTGAAAAGGAGTGGTGGGATGCCAATGCTCGCGATGATGTAGAGCTCAGACTTCAAGTCTACAAGGATATGGATGAACATTACCCATACCTTGACTGTCCAGGATTTCCAGACTGAAAGGGTCATGGAAGTAGCACGCTAGCTAAGCTCCTGCCATGAAGGAGGAGTGCCAAAATAGAGCTAGCATTACATGCGCCGCAAGACGTGATCTAACTGTGTAGGCCTTTTTGAAGCTCAAAGTAAAAGTCCGCAATATGTATTATACATATATACCAGTGGTGATTCGATGACAATGTTGTGAAATCGATGAGAACGAGATGATTTGCACCAAGATTTTGCATGTGCGCATCACCCTATATATATATATATATGTGGGAAACACGTTTCTGAACGGTTGCACGTTTACGTCCAATTGAAGTGCAAGCATAAGGAATAGGATATTCAGAAATTCAGGGTTAGTTATTCTCATCATACTTCAGGGCCTTAATCCACAGCAATCCCTGTTTTGGGTTCTTCCATGTAAAGGTTTCGGGTGTAGGGACCATCAGCCAAGATCCCATTGTAGAACCGTTGGCAGGAGAGTCATTCAGCAGAGCAAGTACGACGACGGCCCCCAGGCGCCTTGCAATCAAGTGCATTTCCTCTCTAGAAGTCTCCACCAGTGACCTTTTTGGAATGTGGGTGCATCTCAGACGGCTCTGCATGGACCCCTATGATAGGACCAAGAGATGACAGTCCATTGGTCCGCTCATTTTGAGACAGACCACACCTCATGTCCTGCCAGAAGAAACAATTGAACAATTTACCAAAAACATCGTGCAGAGAAGGTGACGCCAGATTTTATTGCAGTCGTTATTGGTGGGAAAGATTCACTGCTTCTTTCAAGTTACCCCTCGTCTAGAGCTGGATTTTATTGGTGATAAACGCAAGAATTCCCCGAACCAGAATCATGTTGAGCCAAAACGCAAGTCTTTCCTTGGAAGAGTTGTCCTTTGTAAGAGTTGTCCGTTGTTGAAATAACACGGAACTTCCAGTGTGTGGGTGGTGCAGTGACCATCTTTCTTTGCCAGGTCGGAGCTCTACAGTCTGAGACACGAAATCAATCAAATGCCGTACCGCATCATACTGCCATACAGTATTTAAACTTATACCCCTTCACTCAACAGCAGAAGGGTGGTATGACTGGATCATTATTCTTGCAAGCTAGAGCTAATCACAGCCAATTCTACAGGTGCAAAAGACGAGCCCACAAGAATCCCTAATTCAACCAACTAGAGTAGAAATCGAGAGGACATCCAGAGCAACAGAGTCCTGTGGAAATGTCAATTCCGTGCTCTGGTTGGAGTGGAAGCGGGCCTTCCCTCACCTGAGGCTGGACAGGAGCGCTTCGAGCTGGGTTGGTGGCAAAGGGAAGAGTATGTGCGATCCAAACGAAAGCGCCGCAATGAGAGGCCGGATTTGATCGTTGAACGAAGGAAGGGATCATCGAGAGGGGCTGATCTACATTGGCCTGACCAGCTCGGGTTGGTTGGCAAATGCTGTGGGAACGTGAAAGTAATGTGTGTTTGTTCGTTTCTTGCGAAAGCCAGCGATCGTAGAAGGCGCCAGCTGAGTGTGCTTGGCGAACGAAGTGAGTAAGTAGGGGGTGTGGGGGGGGTGGCCCGAGAAAGGTACACGTAAACTCGGCACATGCTGGGGGAGGAGGGTGCGCGGAAGGATTGTTTTTTGAGGTTGCGTTGGAGGTGATTTTTGAGGGGTGGTGATGCAAGAAATGCAATTTGCATCATTTGCATCATCTGAATGGTAAGGTGTAGTTGGCACCTTGCCAGGTATAGATACCCAGGGTAGCTATAGTGCAGTTACCAGACTTCAAGTTCCCTTTCCATCAACCGCTCGATAACCTTTACACACGCACAGCAATCCGCAGCTTTGAAGTCTCATGCGCGCGATACCTGGGAACAGAATTGTAGCTACCCTGGGTCCGTATAAATGCTATGTTGCTATACTTCTTACACGCCTATATAAGTTCAAAGCACGAATGAGACTTCAAAGCTGTGGCTT